GTCACATGAAACTTCATCATAATGAAATCATTTCGGGGTGCGGGGTTTGTATGTGTGTGAGGAATCAAGCAAAGGTTAAATACTACTAACAATTAACAGTAATAATACTGCACTAAACGAGAGGGATGGAAGTACTGAAACATATGCTTGCTAGCTCCTTGGACTCTTTGGCTGTGTCTACACTGGCTGCTTGAATTTCTGCAAGAACACTGACTTCCTACTGTCTGAAATCAGTGCTTCTTGTGGAAATACTATGCTGCTCCCGTTCGGGCAAAAGTCCTTTTGCACAAAGTTTTTGCGCAAAAGGGCCAGTGTAGACAGCTCAGATTTGTTTTGCGCAAAAAAGCCCTGATTGCGAAAATGGCGATCGGGACTTTTTTGTGGAAAAGCGCGTCTAGATTGGCACGGACGCTTTTCTGCAAAAAGTACTTTTGCAGAAAAGCGTCCATGCCAATCTAGACGCTCTTTTCCGCAAATGCTTTTAATAGAAAACTTTTCCGTTAAAAGCATTTGCGGAAAATAATGCCAATCTAGACGTAGCCTTTGTGTGCTTGCTGTTTTGTGTTTCCTTTCAGACTGTGAGCTCACAGTGTGATGGCTATCTCCCAATCCATCTGCCTAGTACTGGGTCTATTGGCCCCTACTACCATATAAATAATTATGATAACAGGTAGATTCATAGGTTCCAAGGCCAGAAGGGAACCGTTTTCTTTGTAAGCTGAGTGCTTGTGTGGCTGCTCAGAAGTGATTCAAGTGCTGCCCAGCTGATTAGCAGTGTGCCCACAGCTCAGTTTGTTTCTATTTGTGGTGCGCATTTGTACAGGCTTTGGTGCACATAACATTTATTCCACACACAGATGGAAAAAAATCTGCACATCGATGGAAAAGATTAGGGGGAACATTGGAAGGGATCACTGTGATCATCTAGTTTGACCTCCTATATAATACAGGCATTCTCCTAACCGATTCCTAGAATGCATCTTTTAGAAAAACATCCCATCTTTATTTAAGAATGGGCAGTGATGGAAAAACCACTATGACCCTTGATAAACTGTTCCATTGGTTCATTACTCTCACCTTTAAAAACATACATCTTGTCTCTAATCTGAATTTGTCAAGTTTCAGCTTCTAGCCACGGGATGGTCTTTGCTACACTGAAGAGCCCATTCTCAAATATGTGTTCCCCGTGTAGATGTTACAGGCTGTGATCAAGCCACTCTTCATCGTCTCTTTGCTAAGCTAAATAGATTGAGCTCCTCAAGTCTGTCACTGTAAGACATGTTCTCCAATCCCCTAATCATTCCGGTGGCTCTTCTCCAAACTGCCTCCAATTTATCAGCACCCTTCTTGAGTTGTGGGCACCAGAACTGGAGATAATAACTCAGCAGCTGTCACACCAGTGCCAAATCCAAAACCCAAAATAACCTCTCTGCTCCTGCTAGAAATTACCCTGTTTACACATTTTAGGATCATATCAGTCCTTTTAGCCTCAGAGCTACGTCGGGAGCTTGTGCTCAGGTGATTATGTTACCTACGTAGATACAGGGAATCATCAACAACTAGTGAAGCCACTACCAGAGTGGAATGTGGCTCTATCTATATTAATTCACCAAATATGACACCAGCCCCCCAGTACATCTGCAGGGACTGACCCTCAGACCTTGGATCTAAAAATCAGGAGAACCCTACTGCGTAAGTGACAGGAGTTTGTGCAGTTTCTGAGAGGTGGTAGCACTCTCATTAGCCACTACAAGGAGAGAAAGGACCACTCTATATGAGTGCGGATTACAGCCACAAATACCCAGAGCATAGATAGGCACCTGGTGCGCTGTCACTGCTGCTTAGCACACTAGTCATTCATCTCACTGTCACCTCATGCTCCCCATGTCTGCATGCTGAATCCACCTGTTGTCTCTTCTCACACATTTAGACTGTAAGCTGTTTCAAGCAGAGATTTTTGTGTGTGTGTGTGTGTGTGTGTGTGTACGCACATGCACACACAATGGGACTCTGATTCCTTAGGCTGCCTTCCACTAGTTTCAGTGAGTGCTGGACCCGGCCCTTAGCATGTTCCACTCATTCTGCTGTAACTGAACTCTCTTACTAAAGCAGCTGTTGCAGCATGGCAGCAACTCACCTTTTAGAAAGTCAGGGGCATCCTTCTACTCTAGATAAATGAAGGGAATTTACATGCAACACTTCCATTGAAATACGAGCAGGGCTCATGCATGTGAATCCCATGGTTGGTCTATGAGGCCTACGCTGCCAAATCACTGCACTGTGACTTTCTGGCTCAGGGACGTGTAACCCCAAGTGCTGCAAGTTACAGTGCTGTAAAACGCCGGTGTAAACAGGCTCCGAGAGCTGGGAGTTATGCCCTCATGGAGAGGGTTTACATAGAGTACTGGTGCTGTGACTGCCCTGCTGTGCTGTTAAGTGTAGACAAAGCCTTCATATGCACATGGGACTTACAGCCAGGGGGGCTGACAGACTTGCCAGGCCCGTGGCCCAGGCTCGGTCCCTGAGTGGTAGAGGCAGGGCTGGGGCACCCAGCCTTCCGTGTCACCCAGACCACCACGCCCCTTGCCCATGCCAGCTCTTCAGCACCGCCCGGAGTGGTGGTAGCCAAGAGCCTGGGGCTCATTTGAATTGCTGGACCCCAGGCCAGTTGCCGCCTTTGCTCCCCCCTCCTGTCAGCTGGTTTGCTTACAGCTACAGAAGAGGGACTTTCTCTATGTGACGGATGTGGCATATTTCAAACAGCAAGTTTTCATGAGTGGCTCTTCCTTCCTGTGAGGCTCCTGCTAACGCGAGGCCATTACACAGAATACATTCTTTGACTATTCTCCTGGGTGCCAGGGCTTATTCCTCTGGTGCTCCTTTGTTATCAACCGTGAGGTAAAATCACTTCATTTTATGGCTTGTGCTGGTTCAATAGAATTCCACGCAGCTACTCTATGGGAGCTTGTATAAAGTACTGCCATCCCGCCACAATAATGGATTTGCTGATGAGGCAGCGTGTACCTCAGAAACCGGACACGGAGGCTGGAATCATTTGTATAGGGGGCGCGGAGAGCCCGAGAATCAATCTGTAAACTCTCCATATAATAGAAACTACTGTAAACCAGCACCCTCAGCAGCCCTAGCTCCAGCACCGATGAAGCCAGACAGGCTTTGATTGAATCCAACGCTGTAACGGGAGGGAAGAGGGAGGTAGCTCTCATAGCATTACGCTTTCTGACAGAGATTAAGTGCTAATGTTGTCAAGGTGACCCCTCTGTAAGTTACCTCTCCCATTAGAGCTTTCTGTTCTAGGATCCTGGAGGTAAACTGCCAACTCCCTGGGCCAAATTCTGCTCTCCTTTACGCCCAGGCAACACTTCAGAGAGGTGGTGTAAGTTGCAACCATAATATTATGGTTTAAGTGAAGAGAACACATCTGGAGTTTGTAGAGAATTGTCCATTCTCTTGCAGTCCTAAAGCGCTTCACAAAGAGATCTACCAGAGAAAGTAGCAGCCATTGTGAACTCAGTAGCAATTCACACACACACACACACACACACACACACTCTGGAACTGGCTTTAAAAGACTTCATCTTCTACCTGGGCAGAGATGATCAGAGGGAAACATTGGGTTAATCTGTCATCTAAATGACGCACCTCTAACAGTGCAGCAGCCTTTAATGATACAGCCCTGCAATGCCAGCACCAAGTCATAAAACAACACAGAACAACTGAAAGCATTAGCTTCAGAGGAGTAGCCAAATTAGTCTGTAACTGGAAAAACATTAAAAAACAACAAATAGTCTAGCAGTACTTTAAAGACTAACAAAACATGTAGATGGTATCATGAGCTTTTGTGGGCACAAGCCACTTCTTCAGATGACTGGAGTATTAGAAATTCAGTTCCAAAAAAATGATAGGTTAGGAAAGGGAACTTGATTCCACAACGTGTGTGTGTGTGTGTGTGTGTGAAAGAGAACAGGTTTTTATCAGCAATTAGGTTTGAGAAATATGCCTGGGTACACAACATTAAGTGTTTTATATAGGGAGCTCTAGCAATACAAACAGGTGTGGGGTGTGGAGAGGTCATGGAAGTACACTAGGTGCATCTAAATGCAATTCTTTGCACACACTATTGATTGTGGACTCAGAAGCTGAGGTCCCGGATGCTAAAGTCTGTTTATGAAGTGTGGTGCACACCCTGGCAAATACCATATATACTCGAGTATAAGCCGACCCGAATATAAGCCGAGGCACCTAATTTTACCACAAAGAACTGGGAAAAAATATTGACTCGAGTATAAGCCTAGGGTAGGAAATGAGGCAGCTACTGGTAAATGTAAAAAATGAAGATAGATACCAATAAAATTACATGAATATTTATTTCAAAGAAAAACAATAACCTAGCTCTGTAAGTGGAAAAGGGGGTCAACAAAAACAATATGGTATCAAAAATACCGTAACTTTAAAAGTACAACAACCTTAGCTCAATCAGCAACCAAGCTAACACACAAGAGCTAAAATCCTTCAAAACTGGAGTTCTCCTCCTCATCATCTGTATGTCCAAACAGAGCTTCAGCTGGTGTGAGGTTATCAGCATAGACATTGTCATCATCACTGACAAACTATTATGGAGTAGTTTTTTAAGAAAGCATATTGGAATGTATTTAACTCACTTAGAAGCAGTCCCAGCTCTACGAACATCAAAATGCAGTATGTAGAAAAAGTTGAAAGAAAAATATAGTAAATCTGCCCTCTTCCACAACAAGTAAAAATAGCACCTAATGTAGCATCATTGCCAATCTACAGCAGCTATTCAAGTACATGAAAGTTTAAGTAAAATACTTCCAACTTAATCTTAGAAATGTTTTATACCCTTTTAATATATCATTTTTTAAAAAGTTCCTATAAAGCTACATGTGGCATTTCATTTCCATCAGGTCAAACAAAGTGGAACATGGAATGTGCTAATCACAACTCATCTGTTTCTGTTGCAGTTGAATGTCTTGACAGCAACATGAGTCTCAAAGGATCTGCCAGCAGCCAGCCTGGCTCTGCAAAGTAAGAAACTGAATGACAAAGTCTGGCTGAATGGCTTGTCCCCTGCCACCACAATCACTTTTCCTTCCATTCCTGGTTCTCTCTCCTTGAAGGCAAAATTCTGCTTTTTCCTGGTCACTGCCCTGGGTCTCCTCAGCGGGGGCCAGGGAAGTTTCCAGCTTGCCATGCCCCAGTGCAGTCTAAACCCAACATGCACAGGCCAGTGTGTATCAAGGCTTTGCCACACAGCGCCCTGTGATTTAATTGAGGCTCTAGAGGGCAGAGAAACCAATATCTGGATGCTCTGTTCCTATAGTCCCAGGATGTAGTCGGGTGCCCAAGATTTCTATGGGGCAGATTGTACTGAAAAAACTGCCCCCTCTCTCTCTGAAAGCTTCAGCCAACACTAGACAGCACAGGGAGCGTGTGGGATGTTCACTACACACCTCTGAGCTGCTGCCTGCCCCAGGAGGGGGAAACCAGGGCACATTTTACTATCATGGCAGGCCCCGTTGCTATAGTGCCTGCTGGCATCAGGCAATGGCTTTTCAGTGAACTTTGATACCTATTTCCCCTGCTGTGTGGCCTGTTGCTGTTTGAATCCTCTTTTCCCATCACTCCCTGAAATTCAGCCCCCTTCTGGTGTTACAGAAAACCCAAATAAATACCCAACCTCTGCTACTTTCATGCAACACTCAAGTTCTCAGACCCCCATTCCTAGCCTTGGCAGAGTTTCTCCTGTGCTGCTTCCTCCCTGCCACAGGTCTCTTCCGCTACCTCCCCTCCCCAGGAGCTCTGGTAGCTTCCTTTAGGGGTCTCTCTGCGCCTCGCGGTCCTACCTCAGGGTCCTGACCTGCTCCCTGAATTGTGTCCTGCAGCCTGACTCCCGGAGGCTCTTTCCAGAGAATGGATTCTCCTTGCTCCTCTCTGGACTGAGGTCACAGCTCTGTTTAGGTTGTCCTCTCTCTGATCCCCTACAGCTGTGGGAATAGCTGTCTGGTCACATGCAAGGCTGAGCCCAGCTTGCCTTAAAGGGCCAGCCCACCTGTGACAAGGCCCTACAGACTAGAAGGGACCAGAGGATGCTGGGAGAATGGAGAGAGAAAAATGGGTGATGGTCAGTGGTGGAAGGTCATACCCCTGTTGTCTCAGGCAGAGGCTATGTCTGCACTAGGCAGCTTTTAGCGACCAGGCTACATTGACACAGTGCTGTCGCTAAAAGTCAGCACAGGTAAAGGCTGTTAGTCAGCACTTTTGCCCCCACAGGCGGCTTTCACTTTGTCAGCAGGAGAGTGTTTGGGGTGGAAGTTTTTTGTCACCAAAACTAAGTGTTTTTTGCAACAGAAGTCACATTGAGGTGTGGGTGCACTCATAGTTTTGTTACCAAAGGCCGTTTTTGGCGACAAAGCTTGGTAGTGTAGACAAAGCCTTACACTTCCTGCTGCAAAACTCTTGTTATTTGGGGGGTGGGGTTAAGCACCCAGGAATGACAAAAGTGTTGTGGTTCAACTGCAAGTGCAGACAAAGCCAGAGAGGCCTCTGTCCTTTCTAGGTCTGTCCTGCCTGAAGGAGAAACCACTGGCCTACTCTTTGGAGGGAGTCAAACCTGGAGAAGGAGTAAATCAGATCCCCTCACAAAAATCAAAGCTCTCCCAACTGAGCATGCAAACATGATGTCATCCACACTTCCTGCCAGGCTTCCCAGCTTGTTGCATTCGGAGGTGTCACTGGAGATATGCTGCCCAGTCACTTAATACTCCTGCAGCTCCCCAGGCAAGGTGCTGAGAGCTACCTCACTTACCCATTACCACATACTGGTGTGAAAAGCCCGCAACTAGACCAGATCAATTGTTACCATCTGTGTTGCTCAAATGAATCACACAATGAATTCCGTAAAAGAAAAAAAAGTTGCGAGATTTGTTGTTTATTTGCTCCTTTTCTTTCTTTCCTCAGCAGCAGCCTCGGCAAAGCGGATGGTGCTTCACGAATGAGTGCAAAAGATTTATATGGTAAGTCACCCCCACGGATATGCTAGGCTGCTGATGAGATTTGCCTGAGTAAAGACTGCCAGGTTCAAACCGCTAGATGGGAAAGCTGAAAGCATCTTTATTGCATGGCTTCCTGTTTGTTTCTTATGGTGGGCCGGCGTGCAAGAGCGGAGTTTCGAGAGAACGGGAGAGCAGCAACCGTGCACACTAGGACATGGCTGGCTTTTCTTCCCGTTCTGAAGGGAGCAAGAGGAAAGTGCTTGGATTCCATGATTTACTCCTCTGCCCCCTCCCTTCACCAGCCAGGAAAGGCATGCACAGAACGCAAGTACTTTCCCCACGCTCCCTTATTGTCAGGGGAACGGGATGAAAAGCAAGCCACGTCCCAATGTGCACGGCTCCGGCCTTCCCCTCCCGTTCTCTCGAAATTCCACCCTTGCCCCTGTGGGGCAGTTGTGAGATGAGCTGACGATGACATGTCACGGAGGGCTTTTCATTGTCCAATGAAGCATCCAGAAGCAGAGGCTATGGCAGACAGGACCCCAGACCAGATAAGTCATGGGTCGGTTCAATGCTGTTTCCTATACCTCTCCCTGCTGCGGTGCTGCGTGGCAGGAGACAGGCAAACATGTCTTCCTATAGATTATGCTTATGGCAAGTTTTCATCAGACCATGGCAGAAATGCACATGTCCTCTCTGCTTTAATGCTCACATTGCAACCTCTCGGCTAGGGGATGCCACTTCTATAACAAACCTGTGCAAACACAGACATATTTCCTCATGATCGTCAACTTTCTCTTATTGATTTAACCTAGACAACCAGGGTCTTAAAAGTGCCCATCTAATAAAAGACTTTTTGGAAGCAGGTTAATGATTTACATCTTAATTGCTCAGTATAGCCCTGAAAGGTCAATGCCCCCTGAATCTGTCAAGAGAGAGTTTATAAGGGATTATTTTTGAAATGATAAGAAGAGCTTCAGATGAAGCTTCAGATGGTCTTAGGAGACAGACTTGTTGAGAGTGTCTGAGTAAGGTTAAAAGGAATTGAAAAAAAGGGTGATGTCATGGTAGGAGGTCTATTACAGACCACCTAACCAGGAAGAAGAGGTGGATGAGGCGTTTTTAAACAACTAACAAAATAATCCATAGCACGGGACTTGGTGGTAATGAGGGACTTCCAACTATCCAGATATGTGTTGAGAAAATAATACACCAGGGCACAGATTATCCAACAAGTTCCTGAAATGTAATAGAGACCATTTTTTATCCCAGAAAGTGGAGAAAGCTACTATGCAGGGAAGCTGTTCTAGATTTGATTTTAAGAAACAGGAAGGAACTGATTGAGAATTTCACCCAAGCTGCCTTCAAAGTGGAAGGCAGCTTGGGTGAAAATGGTCATGAAATCATAGAGTTCATGATTCTAAGGAATGGTAGAAGGGAGAACAGCAAACTAGAGATTGTCCCTGTAAAGTGACTGGTCACAGGTAGCGTGCCTGGGATATTTGCTGCTGTGAAGTGACCCTCAGTTGCAGACCAGTTGCCTGGAGATTTGTCATTATAAAGTGACCTCAGCCTGAGATAGTGTCACTGTGAGTGACCCTATTGGCTGAAAGGCTGAGCACTTAGCTTAGCAGATAAAGTATTGAACAAAGTAATCATTAATAATTTAGGGTATGTTTAGGCTGCATCCCTCTGTCGGCAGAGGGATGCAGATTAGGCAGGTCGACACTGCAAATGAGGCAGGGATTTAAATATCCTGTGCCTAATTTGCATAAAAATGGCCACTGTGTTTTGCCGACTCAACACGTTGTCGGCAAAGAGTGGCAGTCTAGAGGGGGATCTATCAAGAAAGAAAGCTTCTTTGCATCACCAGGCATCCGGCATGCTCTAGCGAATCTGGCCCTGAGTCTGCCCCTCGTGTGTGAACAGTGTACTGTCAGCATCTCCTTTGGAGTCACAACAGTCAAATGAACAATCCCTCACCCAGTGTGAATGGGTTGCTCTCAGCTTTCTTCCAGATCATCATGGGTACAGTGTCATCATCCTTAAAAAAAAAACACAGGCTCTTCTTTGCTCACTTCTGGAAGGGTCTCTGGCTGCCTTTATAGAAAGCACCCTGGCTGCCAGACAGTAAGGCAGAGCGACAGGTAGCTATCATGTTTCTGCCTTATTCAACGTACAGCAGCCAGCTGAATAAATGTTAATGTGCACCATGAATAAATAAAGCTGCTTCTCTGCTTACTGGCTTCTGTTCTGAACCTAGTTGAAAGGACATTGGGGGAAATCCATTGTATTCTGGGCAAGCCCAAGAGAAAGGCTGGGAAGGAAGTACTTTTAAATAATTAGTAGTTTATACAGCAGGCTTATTGCTGTCTTTGTGGTTGCATTTAGTCCACAGACTCCTACTGGCCTAAACTTTTTTCAAGGCTGAATAAATAATACTGTACTCCTAGCAGGGTTAGCCACTGAACCCAGGTAGTGGGAGGAAAAGGGACCGATCCTAAGATAATTGACGCTAAAGGGTGGTCTTCCTATTCACTTCAGCGGGCTTAGAATCAGGCTGTAAGAGAAGGCTAGTCCCTGTCTCTGCTCCTTCCACCCATGTTCCTCCCCAGCCACCTGCCCAGAGGAGCCCTGAGCCAGCCACACCACCGCGCCTCCCCAGAGCCCAAGCCACTCCTAGCATCTTGGACTCTCTTTGGAGGAAACTTTTTTGTGACACCTCCTGCAGATTCCAGGGCAGCTGAGGACGTGGCATTTGTTACTCAGCTTCCTGGGGTCATCAGGCGCCTCCACCGCCTCAGAACCTGCAGGGGGCGTAATAAAACAACCCCCATGCTCACATATCCCTGCAAGCAAGGATACCCATCGCCATGGTGACTAACACCAGACACGTGTCTATGCCTTCCCGGTTGTGTGTAGGCCGGACCAATCTACTGGTCCCTATGGAAGAACTAAGAGTAGCTCCGGCAAGCTGGAAGCTCCGGCCTACCTCCACCATGAGAAGCTGCTGTGCTGTCTTGTCAGGGCGCCCAAGCTCTGCCAGTGCTGAGCACTTGGCCTGTGGCAGATGAACCAGCCTGGTGAAGCGGGTGCCTGAGGAGTGACAGCCTGGCAGCCGGGATCACTTGACACCAAATGCAGTTTGTAACTGAAGAAAGGCTTCTGGGCTGTAACAGGACACCGGGCACTCTGGGCCCAGTCGTTCCCCCCCTGGCTTCGGCAAATGCCACCATCTGCTTGGAGGTGCCTTGCTTAAGGCACAGGTTGATGTGCTGTAGCCAGGAGACGGTTAACAGCGGCAGACTGCACCCAGTGTATGTGACCCACCGGCTGCACCGTCTCCATGGAGAAGTGCTGCGGAGGGGGGACCTCTGGCACGAAAGAGACCTCTTGTCCTCATTAGCTGAGCGGAATTGTACTATAGGTCAAAGATTACATTACAACCCGACCAATGACAGCCCGATCCCCAGTTACAGAGTCCAGCGCAACGCTGGTTTCATTATCCAACAGCCAGAGGTCTTTGGGAGACTTGGGCTCAGTATATGAGCCTGGCGTGTAGTTGCATGGGCCTGGAGCACTGCACAGAGAAGTACAAAGTGCCAGAGAAGTGGCAGTGACTGGTACAAAAAAGCAGAACAAAAAAGTTTAATGGAATCATCAAGAGCGTGACTCTGCAACTGGCTGCCCCCATACCCATGTAGAGCCCAGACGTCCGCTTGCATGGACCAGCTGTCAGGATCAGGGTTCTACTGAATAACTAATCCTATATTGAGTGTATATATATTGAGAGTGTCTATACTGCAATCGGAGCATGGCTGCTGCACAGGTAGATATACCTGCTTCAGCACAGTCTAGCAGTGCGAGAACATACCCATAGTCCTCGGTGTGCTCATATAACCCATGCTGCTGCACGTCCACGGCTGTTTTTAGCTCTGGTAGTCTACCCATGCTGCAATCTCACTCTGGATTGCAGTGTAGACGTATTCTTTGTATCTTCTGAGAATATATCGTGTACTTTCCTCAGGGCAGGGTTTGTCTCTTTACTTGCTTTCATGTTGTCAAATGATCGAAAATAATGACATCAATTCCAGCTCTGTTATAAATGTGGGGTGGGGACACGTATCAGTGTTCAACCGGTGGAAATGAACAAACAGGCCATAAAAGAAATGCTATTTTCTAACTTTGAAGAGAGGCTGATAAAGAGCAGTGTAAATGAAAATAAAGGCCCAGTTGATCTTCAGCTGATATAAATGGGCACAGATCCACTGACAGCCATGGTGTTACATGCATTCACACCAGCTGAGCTCCAAAAAGCACAACACTCTACAGATTGCCTTGGGACTGTCTTCTTCATAAAGCTAGGTAGAAAATAGCCATTAATTATTGACTACTTAGCGTGCTGGACAACAACAAGAAGGCTACGTCTACACTGGCCCCTAAAAACGGAAAAGGGATGCAAATCAGGTAAGTCAGCATAGGGAAATCCGCGGGGGATTTAAATATCCCCCGCGGATTTAAATAAACATGTCCGCCGCTTTTTTTCCGGCTTGGGGAAAAGCTTCTTCAGGTAGGAATAAGAGATCCTCCGGAATAGGGCTTTATTCCGGAGGATCGGGCCAGTCTAGACGTTTTTTTCCGGCTTTTCCCCAAGCCGGAAAAAAAGCGGCGGACATGTTTATTTAAATCTGTGGGGGATATTTAAATCCCCCGTGGATTTCCCTATGCTGACTTACCTGATTTGCATCCCTTTTCCGTTTTTAGGGGCCAGTGTAGACGTAGCCGAAGAGTGATTATTCAGCATTAGTTACTGGTTATCTCCTGTTCAGAACCATGGGCTTGTTCATTATTTCAGCTGAGCGACATGTGATAGTCACATGAATATAAATGGATACATTGTGACTGCAAACATGGAATATTTCCTTCCCCTCCAGAAAATTCCACATCTTTCATCCTGGGTTAAAATGTGTAGCTAAGGTCTATACTGTAAGACTATTCCAAGAGCACTGATTCAATACACA